CAATCCCCCTTTTCAATCATATTTGCCCTAACCCCTTTTCCAGCCATCCCCAACCCCATATCCGCCCCAACCCCCTTTTTCAGGCTTCCACTATCCTCCACTTCATCTTTGCCTCAACTCCATTTTTCAGTCAGCCCCACCCTATTAGTAAACCTAATTCTGTTCTCTTCTTTTTTTTTTTTTTTTTTTAATTTCCATTTTAGTTTCACCTAATAACACCATTAAAGATTAAAATTTTCAAATACAAAAGGCTTACAAAGAAAGGAAAAGAAAAGGAAACAAAGGAAGATTAACTTAGATCTAATTTAAGATTCAAGATTTTCTTTCAAGGTTTTCATTTTCAATACCCCTCTTCTTCTTTTTTTGTATGAAAACAAGTTTAAATGGAAGAAAAAGAGACTGAGGGTGTAGGTGATGGTGGTTGTTGGTCGGGAGAGGTGGACGGAAGTTGGAGGAAGGTGAGAGAAATAAGAATTTTACTTTAAAGAATTATTTTACCTTTTATTTAATATTTTAATTAATAATTTTTAAAAATAGTTAATGAAGATAACTATGACGTGTTATTAATTTATGTGACATGGATTTGACATGTCATCTATTTAAGGGAGAGTGACTACACACATGATATGAGGGGTTTAAAAATCATCTTTCGATTGAGTTTAAGGGTTTAGTTGGTAAATAGTTAAGTAGAAGGATCCACAATACAAACACATACAAGTATAAGGGTCCATTAAATCATTTTGCCTTTAAATTATGATATGTTTGATTGAATATCTGAATATATAATTGTATTCGAAAGATTAATTTAGATTAGTTGATTAATGAATGATACATAATTACGATGAGAAGTCGAAACAATTAGATAAAGCATATATTAGGAATAAAGAAATAACAACAATATATTATTGTTACCAAAATGAATTAGGTTTCTTCATAATCATGACACTTAGAGAAAAGAGAGAAGGCCCAAAATAATCCCTTATCTTTGGGTTAAGATTCAAAGTCATTCTTAAATTTTCACATGGAGCACTAATAGTCTCTTATGTTTGTATTATTGGTGCACTTTTTCTTCTCCCCTAAACTTTTGCCTATTTTTTAACTTTAATTTTGTTCATAATTTTATGTAAGGAATGTCCCATCGTCTTTTTATATATTTAGTAGAAATAATAATTCTATGTGAGAGAAGGTGAGAAGAAGAACACTTTATTCTGTTCAATATAAATATTACTGCAGCTAAACTAAGAACATTTTAGCATATGACATTGCAAAAAAAGAAAAAATTGTACTATTGTACGTAAAATCGTCGTGATGAACCTTTCGACTTTACCTGCAATACGATTTCTACTAAACAAAATAAAGTATTTTTCTTCTCTCAATCTCTCACGTGGAGTTATTATTTCTACTAAATATATAAAATGACAATTAAACATTTCATACATAAATTATGAATAAAATCAATGTTAAAAATTAGGCAAAATTTTGAAGGAGGACCAAAAGTGCACCAATATTGCAAACATGAGGGACTATTAATGCTCCATGTGAAAACTGAAGGATGACTTTGAATCTTAGCCCAAAGATGACGGACTGTTTTAGGCCTTCTCTCTAGAGAAAACAACATATATTATGAATAAAGAAAAGACAACAACATATTATTGTTACCAAAAATATTCTTCTTTCTCCCTAAAAAATAAAGATAAATTCAACGTAGGTAACTTGTCTTTTTATGAAAATAATTGACAATATTATAACAGGAATAGAACCTAAATTTCACCATAATCTCAATAGAAAACATGAATGTTGAACTATTAATCCACATATGTACAAGCTCAAATTGGTGATAAATGATGAGATGGAAAAAATTTAGGGAATTTTATACAAATTTCATAGTGTTAAGAGCTAAATACATCTCAAAACGTTTCGGTATATCGCATCCCGATTTCGGATACATCGCCAACGTTCAGATACATCACGTTTCGATTTTGAATACATAACTCAACGTCTCGATACATCACGTAAAGTGATGTATCTAAAAATAGGATAGAGTACGGATTGTTATAATATTTTCAAATGGTAGAAAATTTTAAAGAATATGATAAACAACCACAAAAAAAAAAAAAAAAAAGCATATTGCAGTATTTCCATGGCTAGCTTTTGGTTTTATGATTCCGTTTTAGAGCTATCAAAGCTCATAGCTCAAAAGGGTCACAAAATTTCATCTATTTCTACTCTGAGAAACATTGATAGTCTCCCAAAACTTCCACCAAATCTCGCCCCCTTCTTAAATTTCGTCAAAATTCCTTTGCAATGCATAAGTCATTTACTTTATGAGCAAGTCAAGTACCTCAAACTTGTTCAAGATGGACTCGAAGAACCTATCGTTAAGTTTTTCGAAGATTCAACCCCTGATTTTATAATCTTTTATTTTGCTTCTTTCTTGTTCCTTCAGTTGCTTCGAAATTCAATATTCCATCGTGTTATTTCAGCATATTCATCGCCGTGTTTCTGGGTTTCGTCGGACCTGTGCCGGGATTGAACAATGATTATGAAAATACTGACATGTATTTTTTTTCTGTTTTACGCCACTTTTGTTTATTTTGTAGAGCTCCATTTCATGATCTAAGGTCAGAATTTATTATTTTTTAAAAATTCTGGCTGGATTACTATATTATTATATTGGTTTTGTCAAATCATTTTAGTATGTACATTTATATTGATGGTTGGTTGATTGTTTGCCACTTAGAAAATGCTATTAAAAATCGCATCTATTCACTTGCATTTTGAGTGTTCTTTTAGGATGTAACATTAATAAAAATCCCATCTATTCACTTGCATTTTGAGTGTTCTTTTAGGATGTAACATATTAATGTTTTATAATGTTTCATATTGTATTGTATTATTTTTGGTCGTTATATAATATCATATATCAACAATTTAAATAATAAACCTACAAGAAATGTAAGTTATATGGTAGAGTTACTATGAATTTAAACGATGAAATACAATCAAATTTTAAATAACAATCAAATATGATATTTGAACTAACAATATAATACAATATATGACAATTAACAACCATCCCAACAAGGTGTTAGGAAGGTCAACTTATCATGCATGCAAGGGTGTGTATCGGTCGGTTTGATTCAGTTTATATATTATCGGTTTGGTTTATCGATTTTTGGTTATTAAATATGCTAAACCAATAACAAATCAATAAGATATTCTTTATCGGTTTTTGGTCATTAACAATTCGATTTTTGGTTTACCCAATAAGACAATGCTCATAAAATAAATATATGATTTCTCACTTCTCTAACAATTTGACACGTTACAGTGAGACAAACAAATCAGTTGTAAATGCTTTGATATAGTGAAACAAGAAATATATTGAGAAATTGTATCAATAAGAGTAGAACAAAGGCTAAAACATGTTACAACCAAAACATAATATGGAATTTCTGATGTAAAGTAGAAGTACTATGATGTGTGAAGTCTGTAGACTGTAGTGTAGAGTACTCATATAGTGTCTAGTTATGTTAAATTATTAATATGTAATATTTATGAAGGGTATAGTTGTAACTTATTATCGTTTTAATGGGTTATTGAGTAATACTAAAAACTGATAACTCAATAATTTTTTTTATAAAATCATTTAAAATCCGTTAACTCAATAACCCAATAGCAATGACCCAATAACATTTTTTTCAATTTGATTTATTGGTCGATTCAAATTTTACATACCCCTACATGCAATTACAACAACCCATTAATACAACATTTAACGATTGTTACACTATCTTTACTCTTCCAACATTAACTCATTTTTATTAGATTATATACATAGACTTGTCCAATTCTTTGGGAGTAGAGAAGAGACCAAAGATAAAAATATTATCCCTCCTATATTCTATTATTGAGTTTTCTTTTTAATAAATTTTTGTTAGTTTCCGTACTTGTAGCCTTATACTAGAAGAACTTGTTGGTTATCTAAAAAAAAATGAAGAAGCCACTGGTGCTTTAAACATTTTCGTCCAATCAAGGGATAAATGCTATGTTGTTGGAGGAGAAGAAGATGACGTATTTGATACCAAGAGATGAGTGTGACGGGTAGTTCACTCATGACTCGGTGGCTGAGTCGGTGAGTCTGGTACTTGTTGAAACAAAGGGTGAGATTTATCAAGAAAAGATTAGAGAGGCAATTTTTTATGTGACGAGCGAAGACAAGATAATTATGTGGAGAATACAGTCTTGCTCAAAAGCAACAATAACACTTTATTGAAATTTTGAGACGGCCAAAAATAAAATATGAAACTAAATCCTAAGTCAAGGACTTTAATTTACTATCGGGTTATCGGTTAACCCATTAAGAAAAAAATCTCAAACGATTAAGAACCGATAATCTGATAATTAAGAAAATCAAAACCATTATAAAAATCGTTAAACCACTAAACCATTATCAATAAATCAATAAAAAAAAAATCGGTTTGGGTTATCGATTTCAGTTCGATTTTGAACAACCATACTTAGCACAAATTATTAATTGCGTCCCTAAACTATTGATAATCTTAAAAAACACTTCTTTACTTGACTAACTAAATTTAGATACATCTCAATCTGCCACATGACATAGCAAATGGTCTCGAACTATTGTAGGAGTATGTGACTCTTAATAAAAAACTGAGATAAGTGTCAAAAATACCTTAAACATGGCGAGAATTTAGGAGTGTATTTCACTTATGTTGTAAGATTGAAAGTGTATTTAAATTTAGTTAGTCAAGTAATTCAGTGTTTTAAAGAATGTCAAGAGTTTGAAGATAAAACTAATAAGTCATACCGAATTTAGAAGTGTTTTCAATATTTCGTGTATTTTAAAATTGATCAACTATTTTCAGAAGTATAAGCACGTGAATAATTGATATAGATGGCCCGATTGTTATAAATTGTATCTCCAATTGCATCACTCACACACAAAAAAAAAACAGAGCTCTATACAACACACAAAAATGGCGGAAAACAGCAAAAAACTGCATATAGCAGTATTTCCATGGCTAGCTTTTGGTCATATGGTTCCATATTTAGAGCTCTCAAAGCTCATAGCTCAAAAGGGTCACAAAATTTCCTTCATTTCTACTCCTAGAAACATCGATCGTCTCCCAAAGCTTCCACCAACTCTTGCCCCCTTCTTAAATTTCGTTAAAATTCCTCTGCCCCACGTTGATAAGTTACCGAAAAATGCAGAAGCAACTATTGATTTACCTTATGAGAAAGTCAAGTACCTCAAACTTGCTCAAGATGGACTCAAAGAACCCATTGCTAGGTTTCTCGAAGAATCAACTCCTGATTTTATAATCTTCGATTTTGCTTCTTACTGGATTCCTTCTATTGCTTCGAAATTCAATATTCCGTCCGGTTATTTCAGCATATTCATCGCCGCGTTGCTGGGTTTCGCCGGACCTGTGCCGGGATCGAACAATGATTATGAAATTCGGACGATGCCGGAGGAATTCACCGTTCCCCCAAAATGGGTACCGTTTGAAACCACAGTTGCTTCCAAGCTTTTCGAAGTTTTGAAAATCTTCGAAGCTACCTTTAAGGGTGAGGAAGAGAACGTTTCTGATTTGTTTCGTATGCATAAATCTGTTGAAAACTGTGATTTTTTGTTTGTGAGAAGCTGTTCAGAATTTGAACCAGAATGGTTGAAAGTTGTCGGAGATATCCACCGGAAACCGGTTTTTCCGGTGGGACAACTTCCGACGACAATATATGAAGATGATAACACGAAGATTGATGCATGGAAAGAGATAAAACTGTGGCTTGATGAGCAAGAAAAGGGGAAAGTGATTTATGTTGCATTTGGTAGTGAGGTAAAACCGAGTCAAAACGAACTAACCGAGTTAGCGTTCGGGTTAGAGCTCTCTGGGTTACCATTTTTCTGGGTTTTAAGAACTAAAAGAGGGGAATCTGATGATGAATTGATTCAACTACCAGAAGGGTTCGAAGATCGCACAAACGGAAGGGGAATTGTGTGCACGAGTTGGGCGCCACAACTTAAGATACTGAGTCATGACTCTGTCGGTGTATTTTTGACTCATTCAGGATGGAGTTCAGTAGTTGAAGCAATACAATTTGAGAAGCCATTGGTTCTTTTAACATTTTTGGCCGATCAAGGGATAAATGCTAGGTTGTTGGAAGAAAAGAAGATGGCGTATTCAATATCAAGAGACGATCTTGACGGATCGTTCAATCGTGACTCGGTGGCTGAGTCACTTACTTTGGTACTTGTTGAAAAAGAGGGTGAGATTTATCGCAAAAAGATTAAAGAGGCAAAAAATCTTTTTTGTGATAAGACACGACAAAATAATTATGTGGAAAATTTATTAAGTTATCTTCAAAATTATAAAAAGGCTAAAATATGAAATGGGAAGAAAAACTTGAGCTTAAATGCATTTTTAAATAAATGTAATGTTAGATTTTATGGGTAGTAATTATCTGCACCAATAAGGATTTTTAATTTTTATTTGAAGGGTGGTTTAGTATATGTACCATGTATGCAATATTTGTAGTGTAAGAATTTCCTGTGTGATGAATAATATTATTATTATTGCATTTAGTTAGTGGTGGAATATACGAATATATAGTTTTAAATTTTTTTGAGTAAATTTGATTTGACATTCAAATTATAATGTGCTTTAATTGAATATCTGAATATATTATGAAGTATTAGTATTAGATATTTTTTACTCAAACATATTAGTCCAACAAGATAACATGTGCTCTAGCATATTAAAGTATACCAATAGTATAAAAATATTTATAATATTATTAGTGTATATGAGTTTACGTCACTAAATTTCCATCGTATGCATGTGTTTATTTGAAATCAAGCTCGTTGGTTGTTGCCTCGTGTATATTCAATGTTCATGTATTGTTCATTGTAGGCTTAGGTCTACACATATTTATATTTTGAGCTACGCCATATTGCGCACACATCATGTAAATTTTGATGCGATATTTATTTAAGATATCATGTATACCTTATCTTTATAAGCTTATTAACTCTGCTTGATCCCGTCCTCCGCAAAGACATCACAATCTTTTTTTCCTTTTGCAATGCTTTAATTTTCTATTCAATTATTGAGATCTTCGGATTATCTAACAACTTTTTTTTAGTGTGTGTGGGGTGGGGATTGGCTGTGGGGGTCTTGTCTCCCAATGTTATTATTTTTTCAGGGGGTGGGTGGAGTGGGGATCTCAATATTACTTGGAAGATTTTATCCTTTAAATAAGTTATTTAATATATATTAATAGTATATGTAAAAAAAAAAAAGTGTGTTTTTGATAGTTAATTCAATTATAAATGTAATGTGTTTCTTAGTTATCAATTTATTACTTGATTTCTCAGATGTTCACTCAACTACTAATTTTTATCTCAGAAAATGATCTTTCTTCTTGATATTTTTTTCCGACATGTGAGACCCTAGGAAGGAGAATTAGCGGCATGTCCTAATAGGGCCTCTTAATTGGGCTTAGCATCTAATCGGACTAAAATTTAAAAATGGAAAAGGCATAAATCCCTCCCCCCATCCACTCCATCCCGAAGTTGTCACGAAAAGTCAGTTACACACTTAAACTATTGTGACAACTTATTACACACCTGAATTACTTAAAAGTGAATTTATTTGAACATTGATGCACATACAATCAGTCTCATGATGAGAAAGTTTTTCACACTTGCACCACGTCATCACCATGTCACTGCCACATCAATAATTACGTCACATTTTTTAAAACAAATATTCATGTCACCCAATTTCTTCTTCTTCCCTATACAGCATCAAACCCACCATTAAAGTACTACCATTATTGCTATTATCACCAAATTCACTTCTCCACCACCATAGATTTCACCACTGGAATCTTCCCACAATCATTCTCATCATAAAAAATCGATTACAACGATCATAAATTTAACTAAATTCACCATTAGAATCACATCACTATCAATGAAATTCATCACAATCATAACCATAAATTCAGCATTTACATCAATATCACGAATTTCATTGTTATTTTTGAAATTAAAAGTCATACCACCACTAATTTTACCACCCATCACCAAATCCACTACAAAAAATTATCACAATTACTAATTTCATTCAAGCTTAAAGAGGAGAATGGTAAAAATTTGCAATATTTATTTGTAAAGATTTTAGTCAGACAATTGATAAACTAGTGCTCGATTTACTATTACTGATTTTGAAGAAAATCTAGAGAATTTTTCTGAGAGAAGAAAGATCTATAAACATGCATTAAAAAATTGAATTTTGTGTAAAAATCCAAAAACTTTTTACACGAAAAAGAAAGATCTGAAAACTTCTTATTTCAAATGCTCTCAATCAACAAAAAAGACAAAAATAAATTGAATAATCAGTGCTTGACTTGACGAATTTGACATGGAAATAGTAAGAATTGACAATTTTAGATGTGAAATTTTCCGAGCAGTGAACCTAATTATTTGAATAACTTCGTAAACTTTGCGATGAATTTCTATCCCGCAATGTTGTTTTCTGTTTTTCTCTTGAAAATTTATCATGAAAAAAATATATTTTTAACATTAGTCATAGCAACAAGAGTGTTTGTGATAAGAAAAAATGGAGGAAGAAGAAAAGAAGGGTAACGTGAAGGAGAAGGGCGAGGGTGGAGAAAAAATTGCCTTTTTTTTTACTCAAATGCGTCTTACTTATTTTTTATTTAATCTTATTTTCACGACAGCTTTGAAGGTGGTATTAAATTTATTTTTGAATAGTATAGGTGTGTAATAGATCGCCTAAATAATTTAAGCGTGTAATTGATTTTTCGATACAACTTCAGAGATAAATTTATGTCTTTTCCCATTTAAAAACTTGTGCAGTCACTTTGTTGCTAATTAATCTATAGGGTTAGATTTATGCAAATATCCCTTTTTTTAGGTCATTATTTGTAATCCGTCCAATTTTAAATGTTGTGTATATATAGATTTTGAAAAATAATTCGTCGAATAACGTGAAATTCATACATCATCTTCTAACCTTTACAGTAATTTATTAATTTTTAGACTATTGTCTAACGTTTTGTTAGACGGAACCTTTAGATGGCCCACTTGTTATAAATTGTACCTCCAATTGCATCACTCGCACAAAAATAACGGAGTTCTTAATACACACAAAAATGGCGGAAAACAGCAAAAAACTGCATATCGCAGTATTTCCATGGCTAGCTTTTGGTCATATGGTTCCGTATTTAGAGCTCTCAAAGCTCATAGCTCAAAAGGGTCACAAAATTTCCTTCATTTCTACTCCTAGAAACATCGATCGTCTCCCAAAGCTTCCACCAACTCTAGGCCCCTTCTTAAATTTCGGCAAAATTCCTCTGCCCCATGTTGATAAGTTACCGAAAAATGCAGAAGCAACTATTGATTTACGTTATGAGCAAGTCAAGTACCTCAAACTTGCTCAAGATGGACTCAAAGAACCCATTGCTAAGTTTCTCGAATAATCAACTCCTGATTTTATAATCTTCGATTTTGCTTCTTATTGGGTTCCTTCAATTGCTTCAAAATTCAATATTCCCACTGGTTATTTCAGCACATTCATCGCTGCGGTTCTGGGTTTCACCGGACCAGTGCGGGGATTGAACAATGATTATGAAATTCGAAAGACACCGGAGGAATACACCGTTCCCCCAAAATGGATTCCGTTTGAAACTACTGTTGCTTTCATGCTTTTCGAAGTTTTGAGAATCTTCCAAGCTACCATGAAGGGAGAGGAAGAGAACGTTTCTGATGCTTTTCGTATGCATAAAACTTTTGAACTCACTGATTTTTTGCTTGTAAGGAGTTGTTTGGAATTTGAACCAGAATGGTTGAAAGTTGTCGGAGATATTCACCGGAAACCAGTTTTTCCAGTGGGCCAACTTCCGACGACATTGTACGAAGATGATAACACGAAGATTGATGCATGGAGAGAGATAAAATTGTAGCTTGATGAGCAAGAAAAGGGGAAAGTGATTTACGTTGCATTTGGTAGCGAGGTAAAACCGAATCAAAACGAACTCACCGAGGTGACGCTCGGGTTAGAGCTTTCTGGGTTACCATTTTTCTAGGTTTTAAGAACTAAAAAAGGGGAATCTGATGATGAGTTGATTCAACTGTTAGAGTATATACTATTAATCATGTGTTTAGACATAGTATTCTAACAATTTTCAAGATTAAATATCTAAGTGGGAGATTGTTAGGGTATATACTATTAACCATGCATTTAGATATAGTACATTATAACAATTGTGATGGTTAAAAGTCTAAGTGGGAGATTGTTGGGATATATACCATTAACCAAGTGTTAAGAAATAATATTTATTATAGAATAAATATTTACTCAATTTTAATAGATCATATACTCGTTTATGGTGTCTGTTTACTTATATAGTAGATGATTTAGTGTGTAGAGTTTTAGCTTATACACAGATGATTAAATCATCGGTTCTTATAAGTATAAAGTTTTTTGTTCACAATCTAGGATGGAAATTGGACATGCCATCGGTACGATTGTAGCACAAGATTATATGTAATTTATCTTGATTATGGGAACGGTATAGTTCCAACTTCTTGTGCTAGTGCATTTTGTATGTATTGAACGGGACCGAGTAGAGATAGTTGTTTTAGACTGACTGACAAAACATATTCTCTAAATTATTAAATGTACTTATATTCTTAATCCTGATATAACTATTATGATCTATATGTATTAATTATCATTTTGATTTATTAAAAGGTCAGATTCTGATATGGGTCAATATGCCTGGTAAGTTGGATGATAATAATATATATTGCTGAAATAATAAGTTAGTTGATGGAATCCATGTCTCGTTATAGAGATTGATTGATATGCCTTTTTGATAAACTTATAAGTTTTCATCGTGTCCAACCTTGCAAGTGGATTTATGAATCCGACACATGAAATAAGTTAAGTAGTGCTCTAAAGGAAATTAATCATTAAGTTAAATTCATCAGTAATTTAATTTATTGATTAGTATCTGAAATCTTAACATGGGGAATTACATAAGTGTTTAATGGGGAATTATGAAATATAAATAGAGGAGTGCAATTATGAATTTCTAGTGGAATGATTTGTAATTTATTATGGTAAGAATAATTCAAATTAATTATTTGAAACTATTTCCATAATAGGAAGCCTCAGTAATTAATTTTGTGGTCCCTCCAGTGCCCATATTTAACTAGAACTCAGAATCTTATTTCTTAGGGGAAAAAGGAGTAGGCGTGTGTTTTCTTGTTTTTCAAGAAAACTGGGTTTTCTTCTCCTTTTTGGATTGGGGAAGAAATCTCTATACATAGAGTTCTCCTAACCTAGAAAAAGATTGA